GTATATAGGAGCTGATGATGAATAATAAATAATATAAGTACTAAACAATAACTTTAATAAACAGAACAACTAACAAAGTAAAAGAAATTAGAATTGTTTAAGCATGGTATAGTTTTCTCAAAGTTGGAAAACAATATCTTCCGCGTAAATGCTTCTTATAAAGCTTAACAGTAATATTCATTTATTACAAAGGTAAGAGAGAAACAAAAAGGCCCTTTGTGAAACCGAATAAAGGGAAAATCCAGACTGAAATTAGAGGATTCCTTGGAATAAAGGAACCATAAACCTCAAAATGAAACATTGGGTTATACGGATGGAAAAAAAAATACGAAAGAGAATTTCAATATCTAAAGGCAATTTTTTTTGGATAAAATATTTTAGAAAACCTATCTGGAATTCTCGTAAGTATAGCGTTCAAATATTCTAAGGAATATAAATGATAACGATGTTTGTGCCGAAATAAGATGTTATTTAGAAGCAAAGATATCTACTTCGCCGAAAAAGTGCCTAAATCTCGGCTTGTACAAACACAATTCCAACCTAAATGTGTCAGAGTCCCATCGCTTCTATGGTAATAAGTCTTTAGAGTTGCCATCAATTTAAATCATTCACAATCAAAATAAACATTGAAAATTATTAATGTCAAATGATGAAATGAAATTAATATTCGAAATGTTTCGTATTCTAAGACATTATTTAGGTATAACATCAACACCATTTAAATTTCCGGCATCTGTCATCCCGTGAATCCATTTTTCATTATTTTGACAAATATAAAATATTACACAAGCAAGATCCAGTCATGGAAAATTCAAAGATTTAAGGATTTAATCCAAATAACAGACCACCCACAATAATTCTAATTTCTGTAGGATCATATCATAAAATACAGGCACAAAATAAATTGAAAATAAAAATATTAGAACTGAGACCGTTTTCAATAAAAAAATGCGAGATAATTTGAACAATGTTAAGTGCAACTACGAAAAAACAAATATAAAAATCCTTTTACATCAAGCAGCAAAATAAAAAGACAAAAGTCGTAGAAATAACAACGAGAAAACATTGGCGTTGACAACACGTACGACAGCCCTAGTAATATCCGTTGTCAGAGTAATTGGAGTGAGAAATATCCGCGGTGGTCGGCACGATTTTGTTGGCCTTTGTCCCGACTAGACTTTACGAGCGGCCCGTAACGTGTTGCATCAAGGAATACTGATCTATCGGATGTTTTGCTGCGTCATAAAGTGTCGGAGTCTATGACTGGGGTACAAATTGGAAGGTAGACATTCTCACCTCCCAGTCTTACATATACTAAAATTTCTATAGTCCTATATTGTTAAGAAGTTACTTGTTTGATACGTTCAAGTGCTGAATGTTTTATAAATGAGTCGCTATTTTGGAATATATGTAGGTACACAAGTATGTAAGTCTTCCAGAATCAGAGTAGGAACGGAAAAATATATGAACAACATTATTGCATTCATAAAATACAGTATCGAAAACGATTATGTAAATTAGTAGTACGTCAACGAACACTTAGTAATAAAATAACAATTATTAACAGCAATTAATTCCTGACGAGTGTGACGTAAATATATGTATCATAATATCTTTATGATCTCAAATTCCCTAGTAAATTAATCATAAAATACAAAACTCATTACTGATTTTCCTCCTAACGTCAACAACAATGAGGATAAAGCAATTACAACGTAAGCAACTCGAATTTGACATTTAAATCTAGAACAAGAACAGAAGGAAGGAATGGATCTATGCTGTGAATAGTAAAATAAATTTCATTAGAGCACGCTCAGTACGCTCGATTACGTCTTAGGTCGTAATTTTTCACAAGGCAAATGAAACCAATGATTTTGATCTAAACAAATGCAAATACGAAGAGAAAATCTCTCCATAAAATTCTTGCATATGACCATTTTCCTAATCTACGACGTATGCAACTAGCGACATTAATAATATTCTTTGTAAGTTAAGAGATTCAATATAGAAATCTACACAAAACACAATACATCTTAAAACTGGATGAATTAATTCAAAATTAATGTTGTTAAACTTATTTTACATGATTATTACTGTTATTTCAAATTCAACCTTTCGACCGCTCTTCTGTCTGACTGGTCCAACTTACTTTATTAAATTAAAGCCATTTTATTGAACGATAAAAATTGCTATCATAAATAAAGCTAATAATAACATTTGCGAAGCTATTATAGCCATTGTTACTGAAGCCATCCTCAAAGGTTGCCCTGTGACGGGAGCCGAGTGTTTATTAGGGTTGTAACATTTTAATGTCATCTTTTTATACATTAACCTTGAATAGCTTTAATAAGAATAGGCTTTACGCAATTTTATATAAAGCTAATGTAATACAAAGTGAAGCGTCAATAGCCTAATGGGTAAGGGTACGGATTTCCGACCACGAGGTCGGGGGTTCGAATCCCGCCATTCGACTATTGTCGTAAACCATATCCTAGCACAAGCCTAGAGCTTAGTTGGAATGGTTAAAGAAATATTAGTAAATTTACAAAAAAAAAATACAAAACAGACAAATCTCATTTTTTCACCATTCGTACCAACATTAGAGTAAAATAAACTTATGTTTCCAACATTATTGACAATAAAATTGAATAGAATGAATTAATTATTTATAAAACAAGTAATTGTTTAGAATTAAAAATATGTAAAATTTGTATAAATCGATGATTAATAAAGCAGAAATGTATAACAAAATACGCAACAAAGGCGTGGGCCTGGCGTCCGCAACAGTTAACCTTAACAAGGACTCAGGTGAAAGTGACCGACTGTATCGTAAATGGACGATAGAAACGTAACTATCGATGTCTATTTTTGTAACAATGAGTCATGATGCATAGAAATAGAAACATCAACTATAGATCTCATGATTAACCTGCCCTTATCCTTATTGAGGGTCGGCACAGTATGTACTACTCCTCCAGACATCTTCATCCGTACTTTCTATGAGTTATAGATCTGATCTTTACGTTTTTGTTAAATAAGTACTATGAATTAGAAGAAAAAGTAAAGGTATAAGATAGCAAGAAAGATAAATAAGATGAAAGATAAGTAAGATAAGATAGTAAGAAATACAAGGGTAGACGGAAATTAGATATAAGCGACTCATTTATAACAATTCATCGATATAAGGTCGATATATGAAGGATGTAAACCCAAATTAAAAGTTTAAAGACTGAATAATTAAGTATCATAGCTTCACAAATTATATTTGTCGATCCATTATCTAGAATAGAGGCTACACAAATGGAATGAGGACTTGAGAACATTATCCATAATGCTATTTTAGAAGCATTCGACGCTCAGAGGTCATTAACCTATGTCAGCATGCAAAAAAACTAGGTAAATGTCTGATAAAAATTGCACTCAATCACTGACATAAATACATAGAATAAAAAAAGATAAATTATGTCTCTTAATTAAAATTTATATTACTAACAACCAACCTGGTATACCAGTTCTAAACAGCTTAATCGAAATGTTTATATATGATAGATCTGGGTTCGATTCCGTGTCGAAAAAGCTATTATGTTTCATCTTACATAGTGTGATGATAATTATTATTACTGTCTTAATAAATATATCTGGTCTAAAACAAAATAACATGATTGATAATGTCGATTTAATTTTATTCAGATTTTGAGAAAGTCATCATATCTCTGACCTAATCTCACTTACGTAGGGTCAGCACATTAGGTTTTCATCTACCATATTGAACTATTTTCCGTTATCTCAGTCGTCACTCGCTTCTTGATCTTTAATATTAAGAAATTATAAATATAAAAGTCGTTAAACTAGGACGATCCGGGTCGATGTCGCGTGCAATCCAAATTTAAATCTTAAAATTACACGATTCTTCCAAAACTAAATGGGTCAAAGAACATGAGCGGATTCATAATTCAAACCATTTGGCAGAGGAGAACCATTCAGAATGGAAACACAGACGCCAAAAATGTTCAATTACTCATGTTTACATAACATTGGTGATTCATTCATTAGAGACACGCCTATTATGTGACAAGATGACATACTGTTCTTTCGTCACCTTGATGACATATCTGTGATTTCTAAATACCCTACAATACAGATAATAATTAAATATTAAACCTACTTCTTAACTATTGAATATATCTCTTGCTTGAGTCAGAAAATCGTTCAAAGCGTTTAAATATTCTATACAAAATCGTATAATTTCAACTCTGAAGTATGAATAGATGACCTCATTAAAAAGTTACCACAACTTTACACCGACGAAATCTTGCTACAAGTTTAATATTTTAGTTTAATCTAGTTTTCGGAGAATCTACCAAAACTAAGTGGTTAGTCTAATTATGAACCTACGTTCGATTGTTGTAAAGTAAATAGCAATGGTGTTTTTACAACTGTCTCTGCCTACACTACTTTTCAATTCTATAAAAAATGTTAAAAAAGTGTCGTAAAAAGGGTAATCTAGTTTTAGGACAAAAAATAATATCTTCACTTGAATTCATTTTAATCTTAAAATGGTCAAAAAATAAGTTATAAAGTTCATGCACTATAAGTACAAGCACATAAGTATGTACTAAAAACCATTTACGGTTAAACAACTACCGGTTTAACTTGACAGTGAACTTGATTTGATGACCATAAACGATAATATTTTTGATCATTAAAATATCATTAATATTAAGTTAATGGTTATTATTAATTTTGACAGTAATAAGTATATGTAAGTGACAGTTAATAGCCTACGGATATTTACATTTTTAAAGAAATACCGTAAGTAATGGAAAAAAAAATGGTTTTTAACAATTTGTAGTTAAAACATAAACGATGCACACCACTTAAAAAAAGTTTCTTACCGTAGGTTTCTGCCACCAAATCTCTGTATAAAACATATCGTCATTATCTTTGACACTTGATGAGATCTAGGATACGGAAACCCACAGTGACAGTATTCAGCTTACCTCTTTTTGTTCAGTAGGAGTACTGGTCCTTACTCCCGTTATGTCTTTCCACCTGAGTACACCCATCACTGCGTGGCGAACCCACGACCCTCGCCTGCCAGTCCTACCGTTCGATAGTTCATCCACAACACCGCACAAAACAGAGTTCACAACCAGTCCTCTACCACTGCTACTCTCTTTCTCATTCTTTAACGCCACTTCGCCGCTTATAGGTAATGATCTTCTCTCCCTCATAAAGCCTGAAGAAACTCGACCTGGTACTACTTCAACGCTTTTCGAACCGCATCTTAAGATCGCAATTAATCATAATAAGACTTCAAAGACGAGATAAATCTCTCGGCAAATCGTTTATTTTTATTATCACACTTTTCGGGTCGACCAGCTGCTATGACGACGGAAAGTTTTTCTAATATTTTTTTACAAAGTACGAAAAACTGTATCTCAATTTACCGAATAACAAACGCCCGCAGTTGTATCCAAATATTGGTAAAACAGTTGAATTTAACTTTCACTTTAACGCCCGTATGTAGACGAAATTTCTTTCCAAGTTTTAATTTTTGCGAAGAATTATCAACACCACCAAAAGTCCTTTAAAAACTTGTTTGAATAAAGTTTATTTAATGACACAAAAGAATCACTATATTACTTTAATTCACAAAAAATCCCAGTAGCTGTCAAAACACGATCGCAGAGTGAAATTAGAAATTTGTATAAACGCTCGACGTCTGCACAGAACTGCGTTTCGATACCGAATGCCGTAGCGCGTGCCACATGCTCGTGGAGCGATCACTCAACGCTACCATCTCTTTCCTTTTGATCTTATCGATATAAGAAAGATAAGGACAACTAGCAATCCATAGATGCGTCATTAAAATAAAAAAAGATCAGGTGAATGTTACTGCAAAGATGACAACAAAAACTTTACAAATGTAACACACTATTAAGATATTTTATAATAATAAGTTATTTAATTTTCTAGGCCAATTTACAGTTAGAAATATTTTAGTTACAATACACAAGCCTACGCAAAAATGTTCACATTTTTTACACTTACATTTTTAATCGAATTTCAACTAAATTTTAATGTCGTAAAACATTGAATTTGAATTTAACGAAGTGCGAAAACTTTTAAATACTTAACAAAAGATCTGTTATCTTATTTCTAGTTGAACCTATTTTAAATGATTTCCGACAATAGCATAGCTCTTAGATTTTTTTTAACATAACCGTCGAATTCGCGTGTGAACATCCGGAATGGCGAACGCACATTATATCTCGCCCCCTACAAGGAACAAAGAGCCAACAGGTGATTGTCAATGCAGCTGCTTCCGAAGCCCGAAGCTCGAAGGAATACATAGAACCAACGCCACTCGGGAAGGATGTGGTAGTGTCGGTTTACGTGGGGAAGTATTGATTAAACGCACATGTACCTTGTTACTTGAATGCTGAATTATATATTGAAACATCGAATTATCAACCAGGGATAATGATAATTAAATAATTAATTAGACCAAAATTTAACAAGGTATTGTAATAAACTAAAACAGGATAAGACTACGGATATAAGTGGAGATATAAGTAAATTTTCTAAAGCAATTTTTTAATGCATTTCAATTTGAGATTTACCCCATATAATGCATCAGCGCCTGCCAAGTTTTAATAGTAAAATTTTTCATTCGTAGCTTGCTGTATATGTCAGTTAAGAAGTTTCTATAATTCTAAGATAGAGCTCGAGTTATGTATTATACCATCTAAAATATTTGTTTTAAAATTTTCTTTTGTCCTTTTAACAGGTATTAAAATAGTAATTAGTAATTATTTAAGTAATGTGTCAATATAAAACTTAAGTTGATCAATATTTTCGGGCATAAACATAATTGTATAAGAAAGTAATATTGTCACTGCATTTAGTAGATCGTTTGGAATCTATTCATTGAACAAAAAGTATCAGCACAAAATAATACTACGTACAAAGAGATAAGACACATCTTCGTTCTTAATAGAACAAAAGACAATCATTATTATTGAGTATACCAACACTTTTCAATCTCGTAATACCACTTATACAAATGAGGTCATTAAGAAGACTGAAGTGGATTTCTTTTATCATAAATTAATATCAAACAACTTAAAACATAATAGTAATCACGCTTTAGTCTAACTAACGTTAACGAGTTAAACAATTCGCATGACAATACCTACTTTTGATTCAAATTGAAGTTTTAATATCTGATCTTGTATTCTCTTTAAAAAATCTGATACTAATGATAATAATGCAAGCTTTTCATTAATGCGAATGTTTAGATGGTTGGATGGATGGATGGATAGATGTTTGTTTGTAGATGTATCCGAAACGACTCAACAGATCTTGATGACATTTGACTCAGATGTAGAACATAGCGTGGAATGACACATAGGCTGCTTATTGTTTTTTTTAATTTCGAGAGAGACAGCTAGTCTTTTCATAATTTTTGTTTTTTTTTTCAATATTAAAATTCCACTTTGGTTACTAACTAATTGTTGCTGAATAGTGACCCATTAGTATAATAACTATTATAATAAACTCAAGAAAAATACCTAACGATAATAAAAGTAGCAACATTTATCGCCTCAAGGGAAATTAAAGAAATGCAATAGTCATGTTATTTTCCTGGTGATTCTTTTTTTAAAAACAAATGAATATTGTATTTAAGTAAGACCTTATTAATATTCGTAACGGATTCGATACAGTACCCCGGGATCGGAAGCAATTTTGCATATCCAAGATCACAACGGCATAGTGTTGCCTTTTCTATTATCGTGTTTCTTCAAAAATCTGATTATTATTTTATATTTGAATTTAATAGAACAATAATGTTTTGGCAAATAAAAATTAAATTCAATAATTAATAACAAATATTTTTTTCTATTACAAAATTTTGTAGGAATGTTACTTTGCGACACAACATTGAAAAAAAAAATTGAGCACATTTTATTTCAAATATCAAACGTCGAATAGGAAATATATTTTTAATTACAATTGGAACAGCATTCCGACATGCGTCGCAAAATGTCACATGTCAATGCTCAATACCATAACGCTGCGACATAGATGAATAGCATCTGTCAAATCTAATCGATAACTCGCATTCAAATCAAATGCACATCACTAGTCAGTATTACGTAAGCCGACACATAACTTATGCAACTGCATGCACCTCATTTGGAGGTCGTTAGATCCTAGTTTAGGTATCCTATATCCTAGGTATCCTAGGTACACCTGCATTATCCCCCGTTTATTTGCACTAGAGAGGAAGCCTTGTTCAGAAAGGCGGCTATAACTTATGGTTTTAACGAATTTCGTCTGGCTACAATGAAATCCTGCGTTTATGTTCGCGTGCAACGATATTAATGTGGTCTTAAGATAGAATATGCATGGTTTTATTTATACAATCCTTTCATTCTTTAGATTATTTTAAACAGATTATCATAAGGTGAATGTTACTTTTAGCTACGGTTTATCAGTTAAAAATTATTTATATCTAGAAAAATGTTAACATTACTGACAACATTTTTTCAACAATACACTATTTTATTTTTTCTATTAAATATACGTGTAAATATACGAAGATTTAATGAATTTTCATTTTTAGATTTAATTATAAAATTGTAACTTATATTAAAAAGAAATGGTTAGCAAAATCTTGCTGCAAAGTAAAGCATTTCTTATCTTATGTTCGAATTTAATTAACAAAGAAAAAAAAATTGTAGGGAGCTTGTATAAAAATTTTAATTAAATATTATCTTGCTACAATGTGCAGTTAATTTCTGATTAAAAAGATAAATTATGTTTCTTGACAAAGCTTTAGCTTGTCTTTAAAATCACAATGAATTTAAAAACACAAATAAAATCTGAGCTTGATTCTTGTTTATTAGAAAAACAAACAATAAATCCAGTTTGCAGGAATAAAGTATAACCGTAGGTTTCCGAGTTAAAAATCTCTGTATAAAACATATCGTTATCCCCATAATCGGAGATTTTTGTTTCAGAAACCCACGGTAAAACTTAAAACATAATATTATTATTTTTAAATGACAAATATTTTCTTTGGATTTCTACAGTTGTAACAGTAATATAAAATCGTCTTATAATTTTTTTTTTTTCAAAGAGAAAAAGAGAAAAAATTTCCAAACAACGATTCGTAAAAATAGTTGTAACGGCGATGTGTCGATTTACGCAGACTGGCGCCTAAACGAGTGGTCTTTAGATAGTTAAATAAATATGATACGGTAACCTAATGATACTTTAACTAAATCGTGACTAAGCATTCATTCAATTGGATAAAATTAAACAATCATATTGTTTCTAACAAACAAAATCTAATTCCTAGAGCATTTTGTGCATTTTGAAGATAGTAAGAAAACACTAAATAAACTAAACGAATACATTAAAGTTTTATTAATTTCTGTCATGTTTTTTTGGTTTATTTGCTCAACAGAGTTTTGATGTCTTAGATCTCGTATAAGAAAATTTCCAGTCGAAGAATATCAAAGATGTGGCCGCTAGAACGTTGTAGAAAATTTTAATTCGATTCTAATGTAGACGTCCGAAAAGACTAAACGGTTGCCCACCGTATTTCATTTAATCAGATAAAAACCTGCAGCAATTTCAAAAGGATAATTTTAAGTGGAAAATCCAATTTATGGAGATTCAGTGAACGATTGCTATGCAATTTTAGTTCTAGTTTCATCACATTTTACGCTTCTATCGCTAATAGAATCCATATTTTAATGCAGAAATATTTTCTATTTGATGTATTTTCAAACATATAAAGAAATTATGGTGGAAGAGATTCTCAATCGACCAGAGCTGTTGCTAATAATATTGTAAAATAAGACAATAAGTCACAAAGCATAGGAAACATGTAATTACAATAGTAGCCGTCTAATAATTTTGATGATTATGAAAATTAAATAAATAAATAATAGACAGCAGTCATAAGATACTGCAAACCACAAAGGTGTACTCACTATCGAATCACGTCGCCCATTGACCCAACCCTGATATCTGAAGGTCGGATCTCTTTGTGACCACAACTATATTCTGTTCTTTGTTATAGCCTTATTGCAAAAGCCGTAACTGCCTATCGAATAGATTCTGGTCTCGATTAATAGTGTTTAATGGCTAAGTCAATGTCAGTCATACGGATTATTTGTTACGAAATATTTTTATTGTGGGAAGCAAACTTTTTGTTTCAATTTTGTGTACCAATGTGCTAAATGATTTTTAAAGATTGTGCTAAATTCCTTATGACTTTTGACACGTTATATTAATTAGTTGTCGAGCAATACTCTACCTAAAATGTACACAAACTGCATGAATAAAAGCGTGCTTTACTTTTAATTTTTAAGTCCTAAAAGTGTTCTTAGTATAAACGAAACAAAACAATTGATAAATTCAAATAAAATAAATGAAGTGTATTCCATTGGGCCGTTCGAAAATGGCAATGTTTTTTGTTTCTTTGAGTCAATTGGCCGAATGGAACTTTTTCATATTCTATCCATAGAATAAAAAAAAATCAATGTAACCGTTATTCCTGTAAAATTTGACCACACATTTTTCGTTCACATGATCGAATTAAATATTAAAGGCCATCGATTTCTCATGGCCCAGATAACACATTAAAGCGAAAGGTACAACCGAAATCGAACAGATAAAATTGTAGGACATTACAAAAGTGTTGATTCAAAATGCATTCG